GTGTTCAAAGTTGGAAAAAGTAACTGTTTTGTTGACATTGTTTGTAGTTACACAACAACATGTTTTGTTTAGGGACATTTTTGTCCATGTAAATTGTCTGCAAAGGCCAAAATCCCTAATTCTCTCCGGAGGGAGTTTCTCTACACACATAGTTCTGTTATACACAGCCATTTCCTGTTGTGTCAGTTTGTGTGTTGTGCTGTTTGTGAGGTAGAGAGATCCTGTTCCCCTTCGCCTCTGTCACAGTCTGGCTCAAATTCCCTCCTACCTTCCACTGGACTGTTGCACAGCCAAGAAGGACGCGGAGAAAAAGATGGAGCGTGTGTGTGTTGGAGGGAGGTGAATCCACAGGGCTCAGCGTGTGTCTTGTCACACTCGATGGCCGCCGTGCATCACCATGCGTCGTGCATTACATTTATTCAGAGGCTACTGGAGAGCCGGGGAGGATGATGACGACGTGTTTGTGTGCAGCTCTGGATGCAAGGTGACACAGCAGATAGGGATCAGAAATAAGACAACATGTAAATATCTTTATTTCCAAAAAAAGGTGTTCTTACCATGGCAGGTGTTCACTCAGATTAATATAGAAATGGGTGTGTATGCTTTGTCAGCCGATGGATTTCATGTCCCGTCATAATTCATTCCTGGTGTCCACTTACAGTTGGAGAACTTTCCATCAGAAATGTTGGCAGGCATCGCCGGCTTTGTTCTGTTTTAAGCTGTTAAATGTAATTCCAGGTAGCATTTAATTAGATCCTAACAAAAGTTTGCCTGTTTGAAAGTAGCACATTGTAACCGACTGCCAGTAAAACTCTTGATGTCCAGTTCAATTCAACATTTACTGTAGAAGAGGGCCTTTTCTATTCCAGGCATGTGTTGGACTCCTCTCTCAGCATATGGTGCACACTGCATAAGGTTTCTATCTAAAATAGAACAGGGCATTTTTGAAGAAGAGGGTCATTGTCTCCTGACATCAATTCTATTTTGAGTTTGTTGCAAGGGAGCAGTTGCATGTCTTTTAAAATGTCTTTTTTTTTTCTTTATAGTTAATGTTTGAAACAAATTAGCAACTGTCCCAAAGACATTGTTTAACCACCAGATAGAACTGACACGTTTAAACGTCAACTGTTGTTGCTCTGAATAAATCTTGGTCACAGTTCTTTAGCAACCAAGTTTAAAAGATCCTTTAAAATAAAAAATATTCCTTATGTTATGTGTCTCAACATTGAACTGAGACTGGAGTCTTCAACCGGGTTGGGCCTACTCTAAATTAAATATCTCATTAAAGCAAACTTGTGTTATTTTAACACAATTACGTTACAGAAGTTTTTCACCACCTGAGATCTAACAACCATGGCTCCTTTCTCATAAACATATTTTTTCAGATTTTGTATGCCGTTATTGCGGCTCAAAACAAATCGGATTCGCACTATCATAGGATCATTTTTTACCTGATCCATTTATCCGATACAGGGAGTACTCGCCTGTGTGAATTATTGTTAAATAATTTCTGTTTCTCTTGAGGAAGCTTCGACAAGTCTGAGAAAATAACCTCTGTGGCCATAATGGAGTAACCATACAGGGTTGCATTTGGGAATTGTTTGATCCAAGAGCTTTGATTCATAAAAGCCCATATAACTCGGGGTCTGCTTTTTCAGTTTGAATCATTCCTTTTTTTAAATCTCCTTCATGCATGCCACCCTAGCTTTATGGTGATGAAGCTTAACAACCCCTTTAAGTACAGTTTTGGACACATTCCCTGTAAAGGCAGCATGAATAATATGAGATTAAATGGTTGTGACTTCTGCAGTATGAATGTCAACATTTTTCCAAAGCTCGTTACTGTGTAGACTTCTGGAATTTTTTTAGTTTAGCTTCTTAAATGTGTGTTTAAGCTTTAAAATGACTTCTCCACCGTGTGCAGTTAAGTTAGTCTGACCTGTGTGGGATCTAAATGGATTCGACCCCCATCTTCAAACTCAGTCATCTGCATTTAGATTTGCTATTTGACACATTATTCCTTAAAAACCCAATTGAAGCTGCAGCACACGTTCTCCATTCTGTGTGTAATTGATGAGCGTGAACCCAGGTCCAGCCACACCATCATCTCTCAGCGGTTCACCTCCGTGCACGTGCTGTTTGTTGGACTGAAAGTGAGAAGCAGCAGGACACCGCCGAGTCCTTTCCTCTGCTCCCGCATATGTGCAGGATATTAAATAATAATGCCTGTGAAAAATATTCCTGTTATTCCAAGAATCAGCAGGAAGTCCCATCTGTGTCCTGAGAGCAGTTCAAATCCTCTGACTGAAGTGCATTTCCCCCCCGCATTCCTCACCTGTAACCAAGAGAGGAGTATTGCTGTCCAACTTTTGGCGTTTATCCTCTCTGTGCTTTACAGCATGTTTGCTGCTGGATCTCCTCCAGAGAGAAACAAAGCTGGCATCAGTCGCAGAGCCTCAGCTCCTCTCCAAAAAACCCTAACTATGTTTCAGAGGCGAGAACAAAGTTATATGCTCTGAGCCGTAACCATGGTAACATAGCTTTTTGGCTTTTGTGGAGTGACCTTCGGATGCTGCCAAGTGTTCAAAGACCGCTTTTAAAACTGTGTTTGAAGTGTGTGCTGACACTGAGGGGCCACGTTTGTGATTAAGTTTGTATAGTGTAGCTGTTCAAGCATATTCAAAGTTGTAATATGGAATAACATTTTCACAAACCATGCTGTTTAAAAATAAGTAACCCTCTTCTCCAGTAGCAACATTTTAGTTTCACTCACATGAAAAGCGGTTACATTTTGAAACATGCAACCAGAGAATACAGAATCTGCTATCTGCTCTGTGGTTCTCTATCAGCATGTCAGCATAACACCAGAATTGTTTTCTTATCTGCAGTATTAAGTTGTTAGAGAGGATTATCTATTATGAGATTCCAACATAAAGCTCAATGTGAGATCTTGGCTTTCGTCCTGCTTTTCCAAATAGTCAACCTTTCGTTCAGCCTGAGAATTTTGAGCATCCATGAATGTCAAGCCTCACCTTCTGTAAAGCTGCTTTTAGTAGCCTTGGGTGAAAGAAACGTTTGCCTTTTCCTTATAATGTGAAGCAAGGGTGCTATAACAGTTTCCCTCAGAGAAAAAGTTTAACTTGGGTTCTGTTGGCAGGTTAAATACATGCTTCCATTTCTGGTAGATCACCTCATTACCTCGCTTTTTTTGTGATAACATACACAAAAGTTGCTAAAGGGAGAACTTGCAAAATCCTGTCTGTGTTTTATAAACTGTAATGTAGTTTGTTGGTGTCTGATAAGCCTTTAAACGCATCATCTGTAACTCTGACTTCCTGGATCACGTTTCATTGTGACACGGCCCAACGCACTGTTTAGAACTGGACTGTTTTCAATCTAAAAACCGCCAAAAGTAAAGCTAGGTGTAGATTAAACATCAGTCCAGTTTAAGTTCCTCTTCTTTAGTTCCTTGTCACTAATTGGATTCATTTGAAGGTTTTACTCATACATGGTCAAGCCCTTCTATACTTATTATAGTATAGTTATTTTTGCTTTTGGGGAAAGCTTCAAGCAGTGATTTCTGATCTGTGAACTAAAGGTGATCACAATCAGCTCGTGCAAAGCCTCACAGAAGCCGAATCAGCTGTGTTCTACGCCTTCTCTTCCACTTCTTTATCTCCATCTTTCTTTTGTCTTCTTCCCTTTAATTACCGAAGATATTAAAGTTATTTTACTTTAAATAAGTAAAGCCCTGTATGCTTTAAAGCTTGGAGTCTAGTAGCTGTTTACGTTCATAGCATTGGTCTCTTAGTAGACAGAAAACACATGACGCAACTGTGCTGAATGCATTTGATTAGAATCATACTGATATGGTTTTAAAGTATCTGCGAGCCACATGTGGCGTGTGATTGGCTCAGCAGCTGCTTCCTGCCGTGCAGACTGTCAGAGACACTCATAACTCACCGTCTCACCTTCATGCTCTGAGAAAGAGAGTTGGGCAGGTCTGTTTTGCAGCTAAATGTGCATGTTTGTGATTTTTACTGAGCCAACTCACAGCTCAGCTCGTTACATTCCCTAGTCCAATCCTGGATGTGATAGCTGTTGGTTCCTGTGCTGGACATGAACAACATTCCTACAGCTATTTAAATCTGTCAGGTTGTGGTGGGATTTCAGGGCTGCTTCTGGTTATGGAATTCCTGGAATATCATTGAAATGTCAGAGGACACATAGCGTTTTCGGAGAATGTTTAGATATTAAAGGTCTCCTATCATGCAAAATGCACTTTTTAATGTATTTTATACATAAATATGTGTCCCCGGTGTGTCGGGGAACTCACAAAGTGTCAGAAAATAAAACCCTTTCTCTTTTGCTCCGTACTGAAATCTCTAAAAACGGGGGTACAACGGAGCTGATCCAGATTTGCTGCCGATATGACGTAATATCGGCAATGTGGACCCACGGCCCTATCAGAAACAATGCACGACGTGTTTTGGACGTAATATGGTCTTTGTTTACATTAGCGAGCATCGCTAACACTCAGAGCTAACCTGTACTGGAGAGAGTATATGTAAAAAAGCAGGAAATAAAAAAAGGAACTCGCCTTGTGGTAAACCCGCAAGAGAAAAAGCATTTGAGCTCCATACTGTTTCAGAAATAATCCCCGATGTGGTTTGGAACATGATATGGCGTTTAATCACGGCAGCATTTAGCTGTATCTCGTAGAATTCTGAGCAGGCACAAGCTCCCCCTCCTCTTTTTTTAAGGACCCCGAATCAGCCCTTCTCTAACAGGACTGAAATAGAGGGATATGAGGGATGTCTAAAATGCATGACCTGTTTGGTATTTTGAGCAAAACACATCATAGACATGTTTTTTGATATATTTTTATATATCTGAGACCCTTAATATATGCCTAAAAATAGCATAATAGGAGACCTTTAAATTAAATCCTGACTTGTATAGAATTGTAATCTAACGTATTCTCTCCTCTCCTCCACCAGACAACGTCCCCTACAGGTCAGGGCCGCTCCGACTCGCCGGTCTACACCAACCTCCAGGAGCTGAAGATCTCTCAGTCCAGCCTGCCGCCCATCCCCTCCAGCTCCCCTCTCCACATCCTGGGCGACTGGGAGACCCACAAAGACCTGAGCGGCAGGCACTTCTACTACAACCGAGGCTCCGGAGAGAGGACCTGGAAGCCCCCCCGCACCAGGGACACCAGCGGCAGCACCAGCAGCTTCAGGGGAGACAGCCAGGGCACAGCGGAGAGCGAGGTGAGGGACGATTAGGCCAATTCAAAGATTTTATTGTCATAAGCTACAGTGTAGACATCGCAATGACATTCTTATGACCCGAGCTCCTCCAACAATGCAACATATATAATAAAATACAAATAAAAAACAAAAAATAGTGCAAGAAGTCTATATACATGTAAATAGAATATGATTTATACAAGAACAGAATGTGAAATTAAATATTGTACATTAAGACAAAATTAAATACGGTTTATTGCGGGGATAACTATTTAGATAAATAAGTAGATTGCAAGATGACAAACATGAATGTTTATGGAGGCACAGAGCTCAGGTGTTTAGCATTCTTATTCAAGCCATTTCTGGTACATTCGATGTACAGTTTTTACAGTGACTACTGTTGAAAAGCTTCTTTGTTTATTTTTATTTTTGTATTAGTCAATTTATTGAACATGTTAAAAACAAAACAAATAATAATAACAAAGATAAGTAAAATAAAAAACTGTTCAGGGTATAAAAATGTAAAATAAATTCTCAAATAGTTTCCGTCATGTTCAAAAAGGGCAAGAATAACTTTAAAACGTTTCTGGTCCTACCCCCTCTAGCATACAATGTTCATGAAAATAAAAGATCAGGAACAAATCATTCCTTTGTACAAAACAAACAAAAACAAATAATCTTTACAGGTAAACCAAAACCGTCAACAACAAGAAATAAAAAGCATGAGTTCACAGGTCATTCTTAATGGGTAGCATTACAATATGTTCACAAACCTGTAACACAATTGCTTCTTTTAGACCCAGAGAAAACACAACAGTAGGTGTGATCACATTAAACAGGATTCAGGTATTTAGTTTGCATGCGAGTACATAAACAGTCTGTATTTGGACTCTGGCGGTCATTCTTAAATAAACAGGCTGTGGTGGAAGTGTGGTTAACCACCAAAGACGTTTTAAATGATGTGGTTACTGCAGGTAAGGAAACAAGAGAGGCTTTGATATGGGGAAGTCATGGTTTCCTGTCAGGGTGTAGCTTTCTGACAAGCTATCCAACATCGCCCCCCTGTGGTGGTTTGGTTTATTGCAGCATTCTTTTGATATGGTTATTAGAAGTCAATCAACAGGATATTTATCGATTGGGCTGCCGTACAGCTCACCTGGTAGAGGTGTGTTCATGTATTGGGACGCGCAGAGGACCCATGTTCGAATCCGGCCTGGAACCATGTACGCATGTTATCCCCTCTATCTTCCCCTTTCAACACTTTCACTCTCAAATAAAGGCTAATCCAGCCCAAAATATCTAGAAATTAAATAATACTATTTAAAAAAAATAAATAAAAAGAAAGTGAGAATCTTTCTCTGTTTTATAAGATACTGAATGTTTTTATTTAAAAATGTTTTAGACCAACTGATTTAAACAATGTATCAAATATAAATGCTATCAGTATTCAATGGTAAGAGTCATTAGTACAACTTTCTTAACAACCAATATAGATGCAGCTTTGTGTTAGGTAGTAAAGTGGTAAGTGTTTTTACGGGAATAGTTATATATTTTTGGAAAATACTATTATAATACTTCTATTTATTTTCATTTGAGGAGAGGGTAATTTAGGATTGATATCTCACCTTTGTCTTAAGAGTAACATAAATATGAAGCTAAAGCTAGGTTAGCTTAGCCTAGCGTTGCGAGACGACTGGAAACAGGAAGAAAAAGCTAGCCTGGCTATGTCCAAAGGTACAATTACCTGCCTTCCAGGACCTGCTAATCATGTTGTATGTTTTAATACCACAGAAACTGAAGTGTAATGACACAATTTCACAGATACAGTCTAACTGTTTCCAGTCTTTGTTTGTATGTTAGGCTAAGCTAACAAGCTGCTTACCATTGGTAGCTAATACATGTAGTGTTGACATTCAATAACACCTGTATAATGAAGCCCCCCGTCTCTTTGTGTGTGTCCTCCACAGCCGCTGTCCTCAGAGGAAAACTGTCACAGCACCCACTCCAGTCAGTCTGACAGCCAGTACGGGTCCCCCCCCAGAGGCTGGTCTGAGGAGCTGGATGAGCATGGACACACTCTCTACATCTCTGAACACACACAGGAGAAGGTTATAACTGATTACATGTCATTACTTACTTTCTGCATGCTATGTTAGATCCATACCTGCAAACCATACACATCAAATATGATTTTCTTGGTTGCTGACAGTTCTTTTGTGTTTTCAGTGGATAAAACATGTGGATGAACAAGGCCGGCCCTACTACTACAGCGCTGATGGATCCAGGTCAGAATGGGAACTGCCCAAGGTAACATTAGATTACATACATTATACCTTATTGAAAGTAATCTCTTTTTCTTGAACATTTTAAATCACTACCCAGTAACACTCCCCCTGGCGATCCTTCTAAACACTGGTCCTGTGGGTGTAAGTGGATGAGCTCACGCAGGAGCCAAGTTTGAATTGAATTCTGGGTGATGGACTATTATTGGCTCTTTACCGGCTAATCTGTAAGGGCTGATCTAAACAGAGCAGTCCATTCTCACTGTGGACATGACAGTGGACTGTTGACGACAATCGGGCTGTAAAGTCCCTTTGTCCAATGGTGCTGTGGACGGTGAAAGGAGAGGTAGGGGGGCGCAGGGATACTGAAGGCTGTGTTGGAACAATGGATGTCCTAAGCTTAAGATCTCTCCTGTGTCTGCAGTACAACATGTCCCCTCTGTCCGGGGAGGTTCCCAAGAGTCGCAGTCTGGAGAGGAAGCAGCAGGACCCCATCGTCCTCACCAAGTGGAGACACAGCACCTACGTCTTAGACCTCAACGACAAGGTAAGATTGTGAAAACGAATGAGGTTACAAAGACAGTGTGGTGTGGAAAAGGCTCTCTTGTTGCCGCTGGTTCTCTGGCAGCCAATATGTCTGCTCTTTCCATTACCTGTGTTATTGGCAGTGAGCTAATCCCCGAGTGCTAATGACGCCTTCAGCTCAACAGAGGAGCAGGTTTACAATTAATTAATCTTTTTATTTTGGAATCTTGACAAATGATGGTGTACAGTATGTAAAATAATAATAAAAAAAGGTCTACTTATATGTGTGTCAAACAACTGTTCTGAAAGACAACTAACTTTCACAGAGCAATTGTTATAGCTGACTTAATAACTTGAAAGAGTGCTATAGTGATTTATTGTCTAACTCCTATTGAGCGGAGATAAATTATTTAAATTAAAGCAACGGAGATAATAATATCCTTAATTGGGGTCAAGCTTTAGAAACACTGGATACTACATTTCCCATGGTGCAACCAATCACATGTTTTTACTTAACTGCGTGATAGGGCCAGGCAAATGTCATGGAGGAAAACAACTCATGTTTAATATAAACCAGTTTATTGAACTGTATTATAGTACAATATTTCCAATATGAAACAATAGTTGACATTTCACACATATTTAATATATTTAAAAAAAGAACTAAAACATACTGAAATCACTTTACAAGTAAAACAATAATAATAATACAAAATAAATGCTGGTAGACATACATCATATTTTATGTGCTTATTATTCAGGTTCTCTTTTTCAATTCTTGACCCTGATAGCAACTAGATAACTTTTTTTCAAGACACTCATGTGAGGAATTTCACGATTATCAAGATTATGGAAATTCACCTGGAGTAAATTATTTATTTGTTTATCCTTAAAATTCTATATTGTACCATCCTTCCCTGACACAGGCATGAAAAATAATCCTGTGAAATCATGTCTGCTTAAAACAATTTCACTTTCCTCAGAGTACAGGTTGTTAATCCTTTTGAAATACATTTCAAGTTTAATTCAGACAAAAGGTTTTTAAGAGTGAGAAGAATACATTGGAGTTTCACGCTGTGGCGGTTTCCTTGCAGTTCTCTTTCAAACTGTGGCGGTTTTCATCCGACAAGAGGAGATTTCGCCTCTCTCTTTACCGTGACAAAGTTTGTACTGCGCAGAGCCTCCTCCCCCCCGGCCCCCTCTCTAATCAACAGATGATTGATTCACTGCCAGTGTGTTAAATAGCTGTCGTGATATGACGATCAACGCCATGTTTCACCCAATCAAATAATCATTATTACCTTAGATTTGAACAGGAAGGAAAGCGGCATCTTGGAATGAACCTCTAAATTAACTTCCATCAGAAGCATGTTGTTTGCAACCTTTTTCTAACTCTTCCTCCCTTCCTTATCTTTTGATGACCTAATCTAACATCCACCACACTCTTGTGATTCCTCTCCAGGTTCCTGCTTCCTTTTCTTCCCCTCACTTACCTCAGACCTGTAGTTAGCCGGTAGCTATTAGCGACTCATCATGTTTATCTTGTTGGTAGGAGTGTGCTCCGGCGCCCAAGCAGAGCCCCCCCGACTCTGACTCCTGCCCCTCATCTCCTAAGCATCCCTCGACCGTTAGTATCCCAGCTTGCATTGCACCACACTTATTACCATCCTTCTTTCACCTGCATCCAAATACATCCTCATCTTCTAAAACCTCCAAACATTGCATTTTGATTTCTCATCTGCTGCACGCCACATTGGATAACTGCATCACATCTAACAAAAAATGAAACCAGCGAAAAATCCAGCTACGATAGCACTTTGCTGCAGTGTCATGGCGCCCTCTGCTGGTGATATTTAGGCATAGCATCAAGCAGCAAAGCCACTTCCAACCTCCAACATAGTCCCATTTGCTTCTCAAGCTTCAGCGTGTGTGTTTGTAGATGTTTTGTTTTTTTTCATACATGTGTTCTAGCAGGTTCTTATATGCGTCTTTGTCTCCTCAGCCCTCGGAGAAATGCGGAGTTCTCAATGTCACCAAAATCACGGAGAATGGAAAGAAAGTCAGGTAGGAATCTGAAAAAAAACAGCAGCGATAATATGTTACATAGTTTATCTGTTAATTGTGGCTGTTTGTTCACACTTAAATTAAACAAGCCGCCTTGACTTCCTCTACAGTGGACATACTGTAACATTTAAACATTCAATAAAATAAAATAAAAAAAGTCTAAATTGCAAGATGTGTTTTAACCCTAAATCACCCAAAGATTAACATTGGAAGACACATTTTTTCGTCAGTTCCCAGAAGGATATAATGTTAACCAGACAATATTTTCTTCCTTAGATTTACACCATATTTTAGCGTCTTCTAGCTGTTTTGTGTATTTTTTGTGCCTTTACTGTTTTAATTGAGTCTTTTCTTAGCATTGTTTCCAGCAGCAGAAGGCAGTTTTTTTTTAACCCACTGCTTAACTTTAAACAAATCCTCTGACATCTGCGACCCTAAATGTTTTTGTTTTTGTTTTGAATTACAGGAAGAACTGGACCTCCTCGTGGACAGTGCTGCAGGGGTACTCTCTCCTCTTTGCAAAGGGTCAGGGGGGCAGCACCAGCTGGGTACGTGTTTATCAGCCTCTTAGTATTTTTAGCATTTGTACCATCTTCGTGTTATTCCTCTCTTCCTCATTTCTGCATATTCACCTGTCCTCATGCCACCTGTGCTGTGAAATGTCATCCTCTGTTCCTCTCCTCTCCTTCCTGAAGTCTTACTACCGCAGCGGCTCCATCCCTGAGCTGCTCCTCACTCTCCTTAGCAACTGGAAGCGCTCAGTGAAGCCCCGCCCTGCTGTCTCCTATGTGAACTGTAGGCCTGTGCAGGCTGCCGCTGTATGTCCCCTCTCTCTGCACGTGTCTCTGCTCCTGCCTGTCCTTCATTCTTTACTCACTCCTAATTCACCTGACCGTGTGTGTTTAATGTTTGAAAGAAAAGTTGCAATACCCAAGCAACATTTTAGTGCCAATACCTTTACTGTTTTAATTTAGTATTTTCTTAGCATAGTTTCCAGCATCAGAAGGCAGTTATTTTATTTCTTTAAACGCTGATAAACCCACTGTTTGCAACCTGCTCAGCAACAGCAGAAAGACAACATGTGTTACTAGCTGGTACATTTAGCTTATTGGAGCTAAAGCAATGCTAAAGAGCCTTCAGTTAGTGGTAGAGACCAAATCTGAGTTATAAGAAGAGTGAATATTGGACAAACTATTTCCAACACAATGAAGGTTAATGTTGTAATGTGTCTGTGTCTGAAGGTGATGATAAATCAGTGTGTGTACGGCTTGTTTTGGTTCCCTCAAATGGAAACAAATCCTTAAATGCCAGTTGAAGTTAGATAGAAAGATGAAATCAAGGTTGTGAATCAAATGTCAGACTGTTACCACCAACTCTCTGAAAGCTAATTTGCCTAAAAAATGGTCCATTTCTCCTCCAAATATATGAATATCACCTCATTTAAACATGTCCAAAAAGCACAGGAGCACAGAAGAAGTAGTTTGGTTTCATATTATATGTGCAGGTTTAACAGTAAGACCATAACTATTTAATCGAAGTTATAAAAATGACAATAATTCATAATGTTCTGTCTGTGCCACTAAAACCATGTATTACACTCTGTAAGATTAAACTTTTAAAAAAAAAAGGGGGAAATGACAGGAGCTTGAAAGTAACTTTATGTATTATTAATACTCACATTATATGAATAACAGCTACTAACATTTTGTTTTGCTTTTCTTGTAACACATTACTGAGATTTACTGTGCTCGAGAATGTGATGTGTGCTTTTAAAATCACTGAATATGTCAGGAAGAAGTCAACATCTCAAAACCTCCTTAAAGGTCCCCTATTATACTCTTTTTCATCAATATATTTGAGTTCTCAGATATATACAAAACATGTCTCTGAAGTGTTTGGCTCGAAATATCAAACAGATCATGCATTGTAGCATCCCATAAACCCCTCTGTTTCAGCCCTGTTTCAAAAGTGCTGATTCTGTGTCTGTAGTTTTAAATGCTAATGAGCTGCTGCTGGCCACGCCCCCTATGGAAGTGATTGGTTAATAAAGACACATTGGTGCTCTAGGAGGAGATTCAGGTGATAAGGTGGGCGGGCGTTACCATGGTTGGTTATTGGCTAATGCTAACCCAAAAAAAATTACAAAAGTGGCTAATCAGCTTATTTTCAGACAGGTTTTTATATAAATAGATCAGGACTCAAAGAGCGAATCTTTTTTCCTGAAACTTTCAGAATCTCTTTACAGAAAGGGGACACATGTTTATGTATAAAATACATTAAAAAGTGGATTTTGCATAATAGGTGACCTTTAAACAACAATGTGTCCCTGTTGTATCTTCTTTGCGTCAGACATGGACTGTAATTTTGTTTCATTGATTCCAGAAGTTTGGGGGCAACCAGTCCAAGCCGGAGTTCACTGTGGATCTGCGGGGGGGGTCGGTGGACTGGGCCTCTAAGGACAAGTCGAGCAAGAAACACGTCATTGAGGTACTGAACACAGCCGACCTGCTGTTGAATTTTAAGATTTACCTGCCATTTGGGTTTTAATGTGGTCAAATGCTGTCTTTCCCTCCCTCAGCTGAAGACTAGACAAGGAACAGAGCTGCTGATCCAGTCAGAGATCGACAGCGTAATCAACGACTGGTACCGGGCCCTCACAGAGACCATCAACACACACGTGAGGAGACATCTTTTATTAACAACATCTTGTCAGACGTTTTTCAATCCATCTACAATCTATCTTCGGTCCTTGGTTGTAGCAAATCTGCCTTGAAAGTACATTTTAGATTTCAATTTCAAATGTATTTATTTGTATTTATTCATTTATTTAACATGGACAGTGCACATTAATCAACATTTCTGTACATGTGCCAGAGTAGTAGTCCCTGGACAGATTTTGTAAGTCACCCTAAAGACAAATTTCATTTTAAACAAGTAAATACAATCAAATAAAGACATGCAACATACAGTACTGGATATCTTAATAAAAAACCAAAACGGAACAATAAAACCAAACAAAGAAAGAACATGTTAAAACACAGGCAGTGTAGACAGACACTTGGTTGTAAGGTGCAGAAGATTGTGTCAGTGTTGGCAGAGCTGATTCCTCAATAACCATGTTTTGAATTGTGATTTAAATAAACTAATATATTTAGATTTTGTGTGTCTCCTCACGTTCAGGCCTGGGAGTCAGATGAGGCCATTGAGGAGGACATGCCTGAGTCCCCAGGAGCTGAGAAGCAGGACAAGGAGAAAGACCACCGGGACTCCAAGAAGAACAGAGGTAAGACAGAAGGAGAATGTCCCTACAACATACTCTAAATGTCTGGACGAAATGTGCTTATATCCTGCCTCCTGTCTTCCTCAGTGATGAAGACCTCTGTGAGTATGGACTCATCAGACCAGAAGAAAACCAGGTTGAAGCTCAAGAAGTTCCTGACGCGTCGACCCACATATCAGGCTGTACGAGACAAGGGATACATCAAAGGTATTTCGAGACAGAACAGGCAGAATTCATATTCTTCATCATTTCCCACATGGATATCTGCCACTGTTTGAGTATGAATCAATAAATGTGTGTTTTCTGAATCTCAGATCAGGTGTTTGGCTGCAGTCTGACCAGTCTGTGCCAGAGGGAGAACACATCGGTACCCAACTTTGTCACCATGTGCATCGACCATGTGGAGAACACAGGTATGAGCAACACCCACGCTAGATAAGATAAGATGAAACTTTATTCATCCCCTTGGGGAAATGCAGGCGTTTATAGCAGCAACAGGGTCAGAGTGACCAACAGGATTCACACAAGGTACAAATGTAGATCAAATAGAATAAAAATTCTAATTAATAAAAATAAAAAAATAAAGTGATAAAGTAACCGTTGAAACAAGATATCACAGTAAAACGTTGTTATGTTAAATATATTTAGATAAGTGTGCAATAGCACTGAAAACTATGTGGAGAATATGGGATGTTGAAGATAACAACAATATTATTTGCTAAACAAAAACAGATATAAAAGTGTCTTTCATTTAACTGAATGAATGTTAAACACAGAAGGCACCAATACAAAATAAAGTGGTGGTTACATTTAAAGTGCATTTTTCTACTAATATTGTCTTCTAATGAACCGTCTTTTAGGATGTGTTTATCACGCAAGATAAAAACAAAACAATATATATTACAAGTTTAAATTGACGGCTTAGTTTTATTTGTCCAGACGTAACAGTTGTTTGTAGACTCGAGCTCCAGCTCCTTCTTAAGGGGCCTCGCTCGGTATGGCTGGGCCTCGTTAGGACTGGCTCACTTTATGGCGCATTTCCATTACAGTTTAGGAACTGGGGTAGTATCTATAGTAACGCAGTGTAGGCGGAGCCGTGACGTGATCTTCAGAGAACCCCAGAAAAACAACACAGCCGTTAGCTGTTAGCACTCAGAGCTCACAGCTCCTCATATATGTTCAGAAACTAGACAAAAGTTAAACAAGTACAAACCACAGACTGCCTGTGTCATGGTGAATACAGTCGCTGCTTTATTTATGTCTGTATAGGCCGTTGTTGTGAGTGTGGACGGTCGGAGCATATACTGCGTTAGCTTAGCCAATCTCCATTCAGAAAACACGCATTTTAAAAGGTTTTTCCCCTGCCGTCTGTCTGCAGACTTGACAAAGCATTAATTCATGGTTTTTACTAACCGGTATCAGTATGTTGTTACTTCGGCATCATTTTGAAACGTGTATTACAATTAAATCACGGTCAAATATGTCCATCTTGTTGTAGTTGTAGCCCCCTTGCCAGCGATTCTCTCTCTAGTTTAGCATACTCAGCCCGACTCAGCCTCGTTGTCTCTGGCCCTAGACCCGCGATTTTATGAGGCCAGAAAAACTGTGAATTAGGACCCGCCGGCCGGTACTAGGCCAAGTGGAAACGCAACCAAAGACGGGCCGCTGACGTCACAGCCCTCTTAAACCGTGCTCCGCGCTGTAGTGGAAACGCGCCATTAGAGGTAGTAATTTAGAAAACAATTTGCTGCTTTGATTTGTTTGCTGCTAGCATTTACAGTACACAAACAGCTCTGTGACAATATGATGCTTTTGACTGAATAAGTAAGGATGTTCAGTCTGTTTCCGGTTGTTCAATTCAGTATAAATCTAGACCCTGATTTTGAGGAATGCATGTTCTTTCAGTGAGCTTTGAACCAGTAGATAACACGCTTTGTGACAACGCTGAATCAACAATGCCACTTGTAGTCACTCATAAGGGGAGCTTCAGTGCTATCATTCTTTCATTGACACTGAACAATGAGTGCAACCACGTTTCATCTTAAGGAAACTTATTCATGTTCTAAACACCTCTACTTTATCTTACACAGACCACAGATGATTCATTTTCAGTTGGATTCATACAAGTCTGCATCACAAATACAGAAACAGAACTATTCATTATGATAAACCTTTTTAATCAGTTAAGATAAAAATCATTTGTAGCTTAATGTCCAACTACAAGGTGTTCCTGTCATCCAGCATCGGAGACATCTCTCTTTCTGCCGTCGGCAAACATATACAGCCTTATACTAAATCAAAGTGGAGCCTCCATCCAATACAATTTCAGAGTCCCTCCTCCTTTCTTCTTACAGTGGGTGTCACAGCTGATTATCTGACATTATGCCATGAATATTTACAGAAGAAAAACAAGACACAGATTCTGAACATCTGTACATATCATTGGTCAGCTGTAGTCTTTACTTAACAGGGGTCATGAAGCGAGGGCAGGAAACGCTAAATGTTCAATCAGGTCTCGTCATTTACGCTCACTGCCATTGTCCCTATCCCCCTCTCCTCTCCCTCCTCCTGCAGGTCTCAGTATTGACGGCTTATACAGAGTGAGCGGGAACCTGGCAGTGATCCAGAAGCTGCGCTTTGCTGTGAATCATGGTAGGACACCCCTCTGCCCCTGTCTGATGTCTGATGACCACAAACATGCCTTAAACACTACCTCCTTATAAAGAATGATACACTTCACATGGACTGACCTCTCAGTATGCACAGTACACAGTTTTGTTACTGGATGTGGGTCTTGTGTACACCACTGCACTTTGTATGCTGCTGCTAAATGGCCATCTTTTTCTGCATGCAGACTTTCCCATTGGTTGCGTTTTATATATAAATCTCTCCTTGGGCGGGTTCCCTCTTATATTTGCACATATATGTGTAAAAAACAAAGTCTATATGGCCTTCGCTCCCAAGATATTATTCAGATGTCGGTTCCTAAAGTGAGAACAGAACTAGGTAAAAAAAGCTTTTAAATATGCTGCCCCTTCTGCCTGGAATAATGTACAGAAGTGAAACTGTCAGATTGTATCACTATGGGGGAGTTCAAGTCCATCTTAAAGGACAGAGAAGAAGAATCCATTGGTCAATGTGATTGCTCTTATATCCCCTAATTTAAGTCGTTTAAAATTGTGCCAGTTTTATAACGGTTTATTTTATTTGCATATTGACTGGTTAATGTGACATTACATTTGTGTTTTACGACAGCTGTATTCGTCTGCCTGTATTGTTTTGTGTTCTTTTGTTGTAACTTTGTTCATGCTGCCCTCTTGGCCAGGTCGCGATTTTAATCTCAATGAGACTTTTACCTGGTTAAATAAAGGATATATATATATAGTGTCCTTGTACAGATGTGCTTATAAAATTAGATCTTCCTTTAGTCAAAACGTATTTCTCTCCTCTTATCTTGTGTGTCTCCCCTTCCTCCATCAGATGAGACATTGGATCTGAATGACAGTAAGTGGGAGGACATCCACGTCTGCACCGGAGCTCTGAAGATGTTCTTCAGGGAGCTTCCCGAGCCGCTCTTCACGTACGGGTCCTTCGAAGACTTTGTGGAGGCCATCAGTGAGTGAACTCATTCCTTGTGTCTGTTCAGATTCCCTGTGACAAGGCGTTTAGAAGAAGAATGTTGTCCCTAGTTTGCCCACAAGATGGCACTCTGCTCCCATGCATGCATGACTGACTGACTCTGTTTCCCTGCTTCAGAATCCTCAGACTACAACCAGCGAGTGAACTCAATCAAAGACTTGATAAATAAGTTGCCAAAACCCAACCACGACACAATGCAAGGCCTCTTCGAACACCTGCGGAGGTAAGAACAGTCACTCACACTGCTATTAAAATGTGTTATTATATCCATCCAGTATCTACCTACCAAAACTATGATTACATGTGTTCTTTGGAACTAAAAAACAGATGAGAACCCATTGCTGACTAATATAAAATGTACAAAGTGTAGTCTTACATTTTGTATTACACTTAGTGTTGTTTACAGACCGAAATGTGAATACAACATTGATTTAAAAAAATGTTTTAATGGCAGTTGAATACAAGTCTTTCATAGATCATGACTACTTGATTTATATATATTTATGAATTATTTGTATATAGATTTATATATTTATTCCTAAAGACACATATTTCCTGAATGAAATCAGGTACCTTTTCATTGGCTTTTTGTAACTGCTATTTGCATTGATATGGACTTTTTTTTAAAAAATCCTTATAAACGCTGCAGTAGATTTTACATGCTGTATACTTAGAATTTAGCTGTATACTTAGAATGTATTATTTTAAAATGTACAAAGGACATCACACCATGTTATTATATAACATGGATCAGTCAAAATGACTTATCACTAAACAAGACCGGGAAACCAAGCTACCCCCATCCAAATAAAATCAGTACAAAAGCATAAAATGACTGCCTTCAGGATGCTTGTTTCACGTCCAGTCCCATTTTGTAGTTTTGCATCACTGTATGAAACCTCTGAATGAGAATCAGAATTCAGAACTAAAGAAGAGCTCCTGATATTAAAGGACTCCGTGTTACTGACCGTACACTCATCCCATGCACTCGGATCTTAAATGTCCCTGAGTTCTGTTTGACTCTCCGTGTTTACCTTTCCTCAGACTTATCAGCCTGTGGGCAAACACAAACTACAGCCAGGTTTTAACGTGTATTCTCAGCCCACTGGAGCCGGTGGCAATATCATATGTTCACAATGACATTTGCCTAGGTTTCCAATTTGCATTTATATGGCGCTGTGTTTGCTGTAATTCAGTACCTATGAAGTGGTGTTTCTTCAGGAAATTTATAGCGTGACATTCAGTGTATGGAGGTCTACGTATATCAGCGGGCGGATTTAATCTTCTTTTTTTTCTTCCTTCCATGAATATGTTATTGTTTTGTGCATCTGCATGCAAGGATGTAGATTCTATTTAAAAAGGCTATTATGCTCTACCCTGGAGCGGAGTGTTACAGGGTGTGTGTGTGTGTAGCCGCTCAATCTCAGGCCCTCAAGATGTGTGTAAGAATCATAATGTTGTTTTTCTTGATGCTACCCTGAAGCTGCATTGAATTGACAAACAAATATACGCTCACCTAAAGCCATTTATGACACATTGCCATCTTTAAATCTCCCCATGTCCTACTTACCTCTCCCCCCAGGGTAATTGATCACGGGGAGGCCAACCGCATGACCACCCAGAGCGTGGCCATCGTGTTCGGACCCACGCTGCTCCGGCCCGAGACCGAGACGGGCAACATCGCGGTCCACATGGTGTACCAGAACCAGATAGTGGAGCTCATACTGCTCGAGTACGAAAGCATCTTCGGCAGGTAGAGGCACTCAGAATACGTGCCGGGGGCTTTTTTCAAATCACGGACTTCTTTTTCCTTCCCCCCCCCTTCTTTCTTTGACTGAACTGAACATTGCTGTGGACCAAGCAGTTGGGAGAGAAAAAAAATGACCTCCATGGACAGGACAGTTTTTCAAAAGTGTTGCACTTACAGAAGTTTTGGAGATAGATTAAAAAATAAAAGGTGTACAGATTTCACCTGCTTCTTCGCAGGCCGGACAATGGACAGTGTTTGGAAGTGATGACGTCCGTGTCATTGTGGTGGATTTCAGTATTCAGGTGTTTTCACATACACTGGATCCCTGTGGCCAGTATTTCAAACGGGGGGGGGGGGGGGGACCCTTCGCCTTCTGGTGGAGCCGACCAGACTTTGGCACACCGCGGGGGGGACGCGTGGCATTATTAGCCAAACCTCATCACCTCGGAATGAGCTGAATCTGAACTGGATAGGTTTTTTTGTTTTTGTCTGTGTCGTGGAGCTTCGTCTGTGATGTACAAACCATGTGTGGTTTTGGATCAGGTGGTAAAAAAATAATCAGTGTTATGTTAACGGACTGTCTTTTTTGGCACTTGGATGAACTGGAGTTACAGATCGTGTCCCCAACTTACCTTAATGACACCGTCACGCCCTGTCCCTCACCCCCCCCCCCCCCCCCCCCCCCCCCCCCCCCCCTTTTCAGCCAGTGTAAACCATTAACCCTGTGACTTGCGCGTCCTGTTACTTGAATGAATGAGGACAAACCCTCCATCTGTGTGTGTGTGTGTGTGAGTGAGTGAATTAACCTAAATGGAATAAAACCTGAGCAGAAGCATCCTCGTCTTGCCACTTTGTACAAACTGTGTGTCGTGTAGTCTTACGTGCTTTGGTAAAGTTTCCGTTAAGCTGCCGGCGGTCATCGTCTGTGCTCCTTTTGTCCTGGTGTTACTGGAAAAAAGTGGATTTCTGGGGGGAATGCAATGTTACCAATTTTTACATGAATTGTCTCTAACTTTCGGCTTGATGACCCTTCTCTTCACCTAAGCTAATATTAAAGAGTATTCAGAGAAGGGAAATGGTACTGAGAATAAGTTGATGTAGCTCGATGTATGGAAGCGTGTGGGTGTTAAAATGAAAAGAAGAGCCTTTAAAAAAACCTTGCAGAGCATATGTACAGCAACAGAAGCTAGTTGTTTAAAATGTGTTATAGTGACTGAGGTATGTATGCTTTGATGGTGAACTAGTGAAAGATTTTGATTTTGTAAATTTGAATTAAAAAATATGACTATACACAGATTGTGAAAAAAACAAACACATGATCGACTGTTATTTTTTGTTTGAAGGTGTACCTGGAGTGTTTTGCGCATGGTCAGCTGCACATTTTGAATGTAATTTTCAGGCTAACTGCTGTTTGTGAAACTGCTATGTCTAATAAAAAAGACAAACTAAATGTTCAGAATGTGTATTCTCTGTCTGGATGTGGAGGTAAATGTTTCCAGGGGATGAGGACGATAAAGGAAAGAGGTGAGTCTGCTGTTTAACCTTCAATCAACTTAAGCTTCACCTTTCCCTCCGCTTTAATTACTGAATTGGATTAATCTACTCAACACCAATATCCTGGTTATTGAATTGAGTGATTAAGCTTTCACGTCTCAATCAATTATACTCCTACCTGTTAATTATGAAATGAACTGCAGTATATTTCTGGATATATTTTCAAATGCAGCACAACCTTTGAGGCTCAGCTTCCATTAATGTGATTTCTCCATTCTTTGAAGGCATTTTTGTCATTACTCCTCAGGTCAAACGTGGCTGCAGACCTGAAGGGTGTGGATTAATTGATGTCTAATTAGGTAATTGCCACGGTGCCAGTTTTGATTAAGAAGCACAAGGCGGAGCAAGTGCTGAGCAAAGCTGCTTGCTGCAGGCAGCACTGAGTGAAAGCCTCCGTTTAGCTTACCTTTTATTTTCACTGCAGGTTGTGTTTGTGTTGCGATATCTGATTAGAATCTGCTAAATGGCAGATCTGTATGGAAGCCCATTTCTGGCAAAAAATAGATGTTTAGGATAGATGGCTTGCATTATGTTAATGTTAGTCATGTCTGTCTGCCTTTCTAAACATTAGGAGAAACGTAGCATTACTATGAGAAAGTGAGTCAACATTTAAGTTTTTGAAGTCAAAATGATAATAGACAACATTTTTATTTTCAAGCCTTATTTGTCGTTTGTCAGAATAACAACAAATGATGTTTAACTTATTCTCTCATAAGTGTTTTAACTTATTCTCTCATAATTGGGACAAACATTATTTTTCTTGTAATTTTCTTGTCATTATTTAATATTTTAAAGCCTTAATCGATTAAATCAACAGTGGAGGATGGCACAACACGGGACTTTATGGTTTACTTTTGTCATTCCAATGGTGCGTTAAAACCGGATGCGAAGATTCCAATCACTCTAATTGCTTGAGCTCACCGCTGCTGTCAGTCGTGTTTACTCGCGTCATTCAAACAACACGTGCTGTCAAGGAGGCGGGGCTTACCTCCATGTCAATACTATGGTAGATACCAACTACAAGAAAATAACCATATATATTTACTGTGATTTAATTGTTAAACACGTTTCAAAATGATGCCTATATAACTACATACTGATACCAGTTAGTAAAAAACATTAATTAATGCTTTGACAAGTCTGCTTACAAGACGGCAGGCGAAACACTTAAAATGTGTGTTTTTTTAATAGAGATTTAATTGATCCGGCTAAGCTAACATGTACATGCTCCTTCTACACTCACAACAACGTCATACAGACGTAAATAAAGCAGCGACTGTATTCGCCATACCAGAAACTGTCTTTGGTTTGTATTTATATATGTTCTAAAGTTTCTGCACAGATATGAGTAGCTGTGAGCTCTCTGCTAACAGCTAATGGCTGATGTTTTGGTTTTCTGAATGCATCATGTAAACTAAACTACCGGTCTTTCCGCGTCTTTGCATTGACTTTACATTTAATCGTGACGCGCCCAAAAGTTGCATCATGTCCAGTGTGAACGCACCATTACACCTAAAAGTGAAGATTTTGACTAAGTATATTAACTTCCCTCATGTATTTTGCTTTTGTGCTAACTTACTTTTCAACTTTTTACTTCCCCCTTTTTGGCAATAAAGGGCTTCCGCAGATTCTCTGAGGACCCATACATTTTCATCCAATCCCCAGGTTTGTTTCATGTGTGTTTACCACCAAATGTGCCCTCATACTTGCACTGATCCCAACCATTCCTCTTTGAAGTAAAATGTACCCCCCTCATGTCTCTTGCCTACGTGTTATTTATAGCAACAGGTTTGACTTATACCTCAGCTGTGGCTCTGTTTTGACAGGACGGACCACCTTGGATTCAACGTGTCGGAGGTAGGCAGCACTGAATCATGTACCCCGTTAGAAACCACAGGCAGTTAAAACTGAGACCTGGAGAGGAGTGCCACCAGTATTTCCAAATGAGAAAACAATTAGATCATTTCTATAATTCATGGGTGCGACCACAGCGCAGGCCCAGGGAGGCTCTGAGTGTTTGAAGTGCTCCATATGCTCATGGTGGTTTCCAGGCCTGCTCAGTGGAGGCTGAGGTGTGGGCAGGTAATGTGAACAAGCCATTATGGAGCATAAAAGATTTATAGGTCTTCAGTGCTTCCCCCTGCTTCATTTGCAGGTGGGCTGTCGGTAGAGTGGCTGTATGAGGAACAAAATGCTAGGGAGGTTTTGCCACTATGTGAGACAGACCGCTGTACTTTACCCAACCATTTTTACTCATAGCTCAATGAGCAAATGGCTGCTTATCCGGGGGAAGTAGCGGTTTAGGAAAAAACAATTAAAAAAAAGTTTTTTAGAAGACTCTTTAGCAGTTAGCATTTTAAGATTTCGATCACATGTTTGGAAAGTTGTTTTACAACTCTGCAATTTACACACCCCAAAAAATGACCCTCCTTATCTGGCCCTTTAGATACTAGCCAACTTGGTACATTATGTTCACCAGCTAATATCTAACATTTTCTGCCAATTTTGTATGCTCACCAGGTTAGTTTATAAGAGATATTTTGATGATAACGTATGCTGGCAACGGCTGCAAATTAAGTCGATGATGGGATTGAACCAAAAATAGTAAAGGTGCAAGCTATAAAGACAAGATAGCCAAAAGATGCTAAAATGCTATGTGTAGCTAATCGAAACTACAGAATCCTCTGTGGGTTCGTCACTCCAACTAATAGCTATCACATTACATAGAATTTATTGCTTGTATAAAATATTAATTACGGCAGCTTTGAACATAGTTTTAAAACACGTTTTGCAGTTTTACATGACAAATAATTAGCATCGGTCTGAGATGCTATTAAAGCATTTGTATATGGTAGAGGCTACATAATATTACATTTGACACTTTAATTGCTTTAACAGCGTAACATACGGCCCCAGCGACTAGAAGCTTTTCCTATATCTCCCCCAACCTCTACTCTAAACAACTGGTCTGACAGGAAGAATGTTTCACGGCTCCTGTGCATCCATCTTACCATCGTAAGGCCCGCTGCTACTCCGCTGATACTGCACTAACCTTCTGTTGTCGGTCTCTAATGGCAACTAGCCCCCCATTAGCTTAGCCGTACTGACGTGCTATCAACCTTTAGGCAACAGATGCAGGATGTTTTTACAGCGGGCCTGTGTGGCTGAGGTGAGTTGTTCTGACTCACTTTAGGTCAGTGTGTGTGTGTGTGTGTGTGTGTGTGGGTCTTGTTATGAGCCATACGCTGTTATGTGTCTTTCAAGGGTCAGTTCCCCCAAGATGTTCTAGTTATTTTTATCCAGCCATGTAAGTAATTTTGTTTTTATTTATGCCTGTGAACGCTGATTATATTGTTTTCTGTGGATTATGCATTAGATAACTACTTTACCAATGCAGCAATGCACTTTCATTATGTCAGGATGACGCAGTGGACAATATATCCTGATTTGTAGGCCTATACTCGAAACAAAGGATCATACGAATCCCATAATGCCACTTTATAGCCATTTTCATTAAACCCTACTTGTTTGGTCAACATGTTGCTACAGCTTTGACAGTACAACCATTTTCATATGGAGTTCTCAAGTAAACTGCTTTCCATGAGTGAAATTGGTAGAGTGTCCCTTTTTAAATACTAAAAACTACAAGCACTACATTCACATCATTGTTTTGCTGTGAATGCAGAAATCTCAGAAACAGGCATCTCAAAGGCTGGAACGCATAAAAGCCACAGCAATCTGCATTTCTGCATATTTAAATGTTATTTTATCATTTGTGTATAGCTCCTTTAAAACGAACTGTAACCATATCACATCTGGTACCCTACACTGTACTAGTCATGTTAATATAATAGTAAAATTCAGGGTAATGAAGCTGTTTGTGCAAACAAGTAGAAGGCTGCACACGTCCTGCACTCCCCTTCTGCATGATCAAAGATTGCGTGAGCACTTACAAGCAAAACATCATGTGCGAGAAGAAGAACGGGTTCCAGTTGCAGAAATAACTCATTTGTCGGCGCCTTTTAATTCAAAGCCATCCTTTTTCCAAATGTGCTGTCATAGCTGCGGCGCATGGCAGTGTTCTCGCATGCATGGCAATGCTAAGTAAGCGTGTAAGTATTCCAAATGTCAGCCCGGCTCATCGTTGTTATTAATGAGCTTCAGGCGGCAGGAGTGGATCATTTTCCATGGAAATTCAATGCATTTTAAATAGCAGTGGATCAACATTCCAGGCCAGGATTTACATAAGGTAATTGCAGGATGCTGAAAGTACCTTGTTGCTGGCAATGGATTTTTTTTCCACCCTTACCTTCAGTAATACAATCAAATCCATTAAGTAGGCAATAAATACAAGGCAAGACTGTATGAGCGCTCCATGACAGATAATGGCCCCTCTCCAGAATACCTATTTATTTACCCTTGGACAGTTACAGCTGCTGTTCTAGCAGACACACCGACAGTCTGAGTGGGCATCCTTTTCTTCTTCACCTGCTAAAGAACATTTGACAGCCTCGGTCCTATGTGGTATTGCTTCCTGCTGTGATTGAGTATTAAAACAGGTTGGCTGTTAGCAAAGGAGGGCGTGTTGGAGGATTGAGATGAGCCCCCGTGTTACCCCTCTCTGAGGTCTACCTGCAACAGCTGCTATGGGGGTCTTGGGAAATTAACTGTAGATAGAGAGTGGGAACACAAAGACAATAGCGGCTCTATGTATGCAAAGGTAGAAGGGGATTTAATCAACTCCTACTGTTGCTAAGAAAATTCTTCTTTCCGCTTTCTCAACTGGTGGTTTTAACATCTTCCTCCAGGCTGGAACATCAAATATCGTGTCTGGCTTTTTCATAAAGTGGAGTAGCACAGGTCTTATGTGGTAGTTACCCTCTGTATGTCTCTGACACAGCT